ATTGGATAGCTGATACAGCTCCAATGATGAGTTAATTGTTTTATTCTACGACAACTTAGAGTTTTTCGGTTATTTCTAGTTTTTCTATTGTACAAACTTTGACCATGTAATGTATTGCTTTTAGTAGTTAGCTCAAGACTTGTGCTACCCCAATCTTATATTGTAATGTTGCATTATAATTAAATAGTTATATTTTATTTATAATATTTGTATCTTTTATTCAAACTGTAGTATCCGTATATATATTTGTCACCTGATATTTATGATACTTTGGTATATATATAGTATATGTAAATTAGTTCTTGTTTGAGAAAATTTTCTTCACTAAGATCAAAGTCTTAACTTATCTCGGTTCAAACGAAGCTTTAACCTTCCAAAATAGTCTTCTCGCTTCCGCAATAGACCAAACATTTTTAATCTATTTAAAAGATTATTCAATAATTTTAAACAAGACTGAACCGGGTTTTATAATTAAAGATTCAATCAAAGTCAAATACAATTCAAAAAATTCAACCCTGGTTCCCATGATCAAACCTTGAAATCAAAATCAAGTATGGGTTAATCATAAACCCATGGGTTTAATCTATTCTTAAATTATAAAATGAAGTCTATTAAGGCACTTAATTCATTGATGTGATGGTTCTAGTATTTGTGTCAAAATTACCCAATCTAAATTTCATGCTTAGATGTTGATCTAAATGCAAATCCACGATATAAACTCAAAGTTATGTTTAATTCACTTACCCCAAGGATAGTGTGTGAAAATTTAGCTAAAAACTTCTCTTGGCCAAGCTCCTTAAGTCCCAAAATGATGAATAATAAAATAAAACATGAAATCCAACCTTTTATAGATAACTAATTTTGGCTTTGTGCTCGGACCCACATATGGCACGCCTATCACGTAGGGGCCACCCTGTGACTTCTGTGTGCAACACGCCTCTATTGCGCATGGTGTTACCTTTGCTTTAGGCGTGCGGTGCACGTACCATAACACACCCTGTAGTTTTTTGATTTTTTCAAACTTACCTCAATGACGATAGAATTTATCCGAATCTATTGGGACCCAACTAAATCACATTAATAGGTTTTAAAATACCATATAACTCTGTACAAAGTCTCAAAACATGAAACATATCGCAAATATTCAAAACCAGGGGTTAATTATTACACCACCTCTTCCAAAATCATAATTTTATAGTGTGTATATACACATAGATTTTTATTTTACTATTTAAATCATAACTTATACAAGTAGAATATAAACATAGGTTAAAACTACATTAATTAGCCTCATTACTTATTAGTAAGCTGCATAAAATTACTTTAGCTCCATTAAAAATTTCAACTTTGTTATAAATAGAATTTTATTTATGGTGAATGTCTATATTTTAGAGAGATTTTAGGGATTTTACTTCGTGTCTAAGTCACTCTTTCCTATAAATAGAGGGGTCATATTCCATTGTAATTCATCCCAAAATCAATAAGAATTCTCTCTCCCTACTTTTCTTTGCAATACTGTTCTTCTTCTCTTATTGTTTTATAACACGTTATCAGCACGAGACTCTAACCAATTGGGTAGAAGCTTTGGGATTGAGAATAATGATTTTAATTGTTCCATGAACTTCCTTCATGATTTAATTATGGATTTAAGGTAAGTATTTTATCGTATTTTTCTCTTTTATTCTATAATTTAATTTTAAATACAAGCAAAAACAATAAATTTTGATTATAACTTTAATAGAGTTGTAAGAAATTATAATCACGTGAAGTGGTAAAATTTCTATGTCTTGCCATGATCAAAGTCATATATGATCGTGAGCACAAGAAGTGAAAACGCGTCCCATTGAATTTGCTTCATTCTCATTTCCTTAAGACAATATGATAGCAATATATGATAAATCTGAAAGAAGATAAAATTATTACCGTAAAGGAATCAATGGATGTGGACGTGGCAATAGACAAAATTATAATCGTCATAATTGTGATAATGAGAATAATAAGGATTCTCAAAATAATCCTTCACTTTGTGGAAGTAATATTTGTCATCGATTTGACATGAGATTTTATAAAGCACATATAGATGATTATGGTCCATTCATGATGTGAATGTGACAACATCTGATTTGTGAATACATATTCATTCTTGGAATAATATGAATGTGCTAGTGGTAGTGAATATACCACACTTACCTCTAGAAGGAGGTTTGGGATGATATAAAAAAATAATGTCATTATTATGGCATGAATGGTTATTGGTCACGTACCTATTGCACGCAAAATATTTTGGTAATGTGATTATTAAAGAATAACATTAATGCAAGAAACATATCTTGCGTATACTTTTGACCATAACCATAATGGTATAACTTTCTCTTTGAAAGAGATATTCACCTTATGGATGTTGATGAATATGTGGTAGTACCAAATTAATTGAGAGCTCTGAAAGAGCCAATATTACTAATTTGGAGAAATAAAATTGATTTTCAATAAGGCATTGTGTTATAGTAAGTCTCAAAGAAACTTTATTGAGTTTCTAAAGTATTCGCAAAAGCGGTTAATCATACTGAGACTATAAATAAAAGAAAGATTTAATATTTTCTATTACTACAACTTGTAGCGGGGTAATATGTATGAGAAAAGCTACCCCCTTTATTCTCCAGCTTGTACAACACAAACAAAAGAATGCCACAATAAAGTAAAAGTTTATTGATAGAAAAACCCATATTATAATAAACTTGGAGTTTATTGGTAATTGCACACGTCATGGTGTAAACCTGAACTTTATCAATATTGATAATTTATTCAGTTGGCATAATTGGTTTAGCCATGTTAATTTAACTATAAAGTGCAAAAATAAAAGAGAATCCACATATGTAAATATTAAAGAACTACAAAGTTCTTTACGAATTCTTACATTACTTGTTCTCATTAATTAATAGACCAACTAAAATTGGGATTGAATCCCATGAATGCTGGAAATATCAAAAGTGAATATGGCTCATTCACCTGCCATGTATACCACATAAGATGCATCTATGAGATGGTTACATATGCGATTATTACTAACCCGCAACCTAGTGTTTGCGGGGTAACTTGCTCAATAATTTGATTTAGAGCATAATTTCCAGATTTTCTATTCAAGAAGTTCATCTTGATGAGTTGGTTTACATCACAGTTGGTTTAGCAAGATAATTTATTGAGTGCCTCCACTTAATAGCTAAACTATTGCTTATGAGAACAACGTTATATATATATCAGTTTGATATACATTATATACGAAAGTATATTATTTTCTCTCTTCACAAGTGGTTCAGGGTCAGGAACCAAATAATTCCATCTTATTATTATTGATGTGCGGTGTATATTTTAATTAACACCATAACACACAAAGGTGAGTTTCCAAAATTGAGGGAGAAAGTTAGTTTTTCTAACATAAGGGGGAGACATGATAAACAGTTGAGAAAAAGTTACGTGGAACGAATTATCATTTGTACATCTAGATCCTCGAATAAGATAATATGAACTTGAAGTTCAACAAAAGATAATTCATCTGCAATATATTGCAAAGCATGCGGACGCATTTGTTGACCCTAAGAAAGTAACTATATTCTCACTTTAAATGCTCCTATTAGAATAAGTCCTAGAAGGACAAAGTCTATAGTACACTTAAAGCATATAGACAAGTCGGTTCCAAATAAATTTCTTGATAAATAAGATGAGCAAATGATCATAACAAAGGAGGCAAGTGATCTAGAAGATCACGTGACATAACACTTCATAAAATCTCAGGAAAGATTCAGGTACCTAATATATGAATGAAGAGATCTTTATGTTATGTCTATATGAAAAATATTGGAACCGATATAAAATGTTTGTAGACGACATCTATCATAGCGCTAAGTATAGATGAGGTCCTCAAGTCTGTCGAATACAGGCACAAAAATATTGGCCAAATAGAAGAGACACAATTCAAATAGAATTGGTTTCATATGAAAGAGATGTAATTTTGGACATGTAGTTCAAACACTTGAAAGTATAAAGTCAATGGTGTGTGCAATCACCTTTAACTATCTTGTATGTCTACCATGACATAAAAACTTGATATGCATCTATTCCATTCATATGGCTTATATGACGTAACTTATTCCCGGAAGGATTTAAATTGCTTAAAGCATATAGAATTATTGGTCATAAAGTACTACATCCTAAGTGCAATTTGTGCACATTTAATTTGTATCTCGCTATAATTATAAGAATGATAATGTGATAGCGAGAATTTTCAAGGTGCAACATATTCATTGGAGTTAATATGGTTGATTTTATTCATTAAATCTCTGCCGACGTCAACCTTCAAGAAGCTAGTGCACAAGATTGAAATGCGAAGGCCCAAGCATGTAAATAGATGCTCTCATCAGGGGGAGTTAATACGCGTTGTACTCTTTTTCCCTTATAATGTTTTGTCCCAATGGGTTTTCCTTGCAAGGTTTTAACGAGGCAACCAAAAGACATATTGTTATATATGTGTACTCTTTTTTCTTTACTAGAATTTTTTTCCACTGGGTTTTATTTTAGTTAAAGTTTTAACGAGGCACATTATCTGTTGAATAGACATTCAAGGGGGAGTATTATAAATAGAATTCTATTTATGGTGAATGTCTATATTTTAGAGATATTTTAGGGATTTTACTTGGTGGCTAAGTCACTCTTTCCTATAAATAGAGGGGTCATATTTCATTTATAATTTATCCCAAAATCAATAAAAATTCTCCCTCCTTACTTTTCTTTATAATACTGTTCTTTTCTCTTATTGTTTTATAACAAACTTGTAGGTTTTTTGAATAGTTTATTCTCAATCTTCATTGACAATGAAATGTCATCTAAGGAGGAGTAATTGTGCATGTTGTTTTTCTTAAGACAAGAAAAAGAAAAAGAAAAAACGGCAACTATTAAATTACTCTTATACCCCTGATATAGGCGAGCCATCCGTACTCCAAAGCTTTCCAATTTCACCCTTTGACTCTATCGTCTCCCGATTCTCAAGTCTCCTTTGGGTTCTCGCCATCAGCCATCACCGCTCCTCATCGTAACGACGGCCAGCCAATCTACCACCTTCACCGCCACATCCGCTAACTCCTCCCATCACCGTTGATCTCCAAGACACGTCATTTGACTACCCTAAGCTCTCCTCCTTCATCTCCACCAGCGGCTGCTGCTTTCGACATTAAAAATCTAATCGAATTCCAGGTGAATTTTCGGTAATGTTTTATGAATTTATGAAGATTCAATACCTTGATGTTCTAATGTAATCAATTAGGTGTTTGTATTTATGCTCATGTTTGAGTTGCTTATTAATTTCTATATTCGAAGCTGATTTTAGCTAGCTCCAAAAAATTGGGGCTTTTTTATCCTCACTGAGAAACAGGCTCTTTTAGTCTGTTCATGCATTGTTTTTCTTAATTTTTTCATTTCTCCCCCCCTTAAAAATACAACAAGGATTTTTCACATTGAATGTGTTTAATTTGCTAGCTCCTTTTTGATAGTGAGCATTGCTGATGTAGTTTAAACTTGTACAAGTGTATTATGGTAATGTTGATTCTCCTGTTGTCAATAATGTAAAGTAGATTGCTTGATTGTTCTCTCCTTCCTCACTTACCTCGTGTACTTGTATATGCAATGACCAACGGGTAGACCACTCCTTAACTTGATTTTCTTGGCATTGTTTTGACTGCAGCATTACAGATACCGTGAGCGTATTTTCAGGCGAAATGGTTGGATGAGTATGTGCTCACTCAGCCAACAAAGTGCGGGATTCTCATCTATTTAATGGAATGCTAATAGGCTGTGCTATGAAGTACATGTTTTTTGGAAGGATACAAGATAAAAATGAATTTGCAGCATATGTCAGGTCAGATCTCAGGGCAGGTTCCAAATCAAAGTGGCACTTCTCTGCCTGGGCTACCCCAGCAGAGCGGAAATCCTTTCTCTATGCAGATGCAAAATCCCATTATTCATAATAACATGCCAAATATGGAGCCTGAGTTCTCCAAAGCGCGGATATTTATATCAAATAAGATGTAAGAAAGTATGTTCTTTGTATCCATTAAAATGTTTCAGAGGTGCTTCCTTCCTTCCATTATTCTTTTGCTTTTGTCTGGGAGGGGGTGTGGGAATTGGTTGGTGTAGATAAACTGAAGTAAAAAGCCGTTAATGACTAATTTATCAACACTGTGAAAATTACAACAACAACAACAACAACAGTCCCAGTATATATTCCCAAACGGGGAGGGTAGTGTGTACACAGACCTTACCCCTACCTAGTGAAGGTAGAGAACGCTGAAAATTAATTTATCAAATTAGATGAGCCATATTGTATAACTATCTATCCTTCTCTTTTGGAACAACATATTGTTTTGCTGTAGAATATGACAGGAAGTCATATGAGAATAAGGTTTGTTCTATAAACTGTGTTGTGTCTGCGTTGTAGGAATTCAATGTCATTTGTGATCCTGGCAAGTTTTATGATGGTAAGAACTGATGAGAGTTTTGCAACCTTGTTGTTTTTCAGCTACGAGTATCTCATGCAGCGGCAGCAAGCCCATGAGAAACCTCCGAAGAAGGTTATGGATATAGTTAAACGCCTGGAAGAGGGCTTGTTTAAAAGTGCCTCAACAAAGGTTTGTTATTTTCTGTTCTTTATGTATGTTTTGACGTGTTTCTGCTATGATGAAAAGACATTCTTTTTTTTTTTGCTCATTGACTTAGCACTTGTCATGCTGTTAGGAGGAGTATTTGAATCTCAACACTTTGGAGAACCGCTTACATGGCCTGATTAAAGGCCTTCGAATGAATAATCATAATCAACGTGTCTCTCGTGTTAATTCTTCTGGACCCATTGGTACAATGATACCAACTCCGGGCATGGCGCAAGGTGTAAATTCGGCCCTGATTGGAACATCATCTTTTGACAGTTCCATGGCTTCTGGGAGTACCATTGCATCTTCTACTGTCAACTCTGGTAGCTTCTTGCCAATGGCTAATGTTTCTTCCAGTGGTACATTTGTTTTTCCTTTGGTTCTGCTGATGGTATAATTATTTTCTAGGCAATTTAGGGATTTATTTTACTTTGTAGTAACAGAACTCATCCTTGCAGGGTGTTTGACAAATGGATATCAACAGCCAACTTCCAATTTCTTGGTCAATTCAGGTGGGAATAATTTGGCACCATCAATGAGTGGACAAAGAATGACAAGTCAAATGATCCCCACTCCTGGGTTTAATACCAGCTGTGGTGCTAATCTGAATAGCAACACTAGTGCACAGTCTTCCATGAGTTTGGAATCACCCAGTAGTATTGCTGCATTTTCTAGTGTTGATTCCACAATTGTTTCACAGCCGCTGCAACAAAATCAAAACAGCCGAATACTGCATACAGTTGGCAGCCATGTGGGTGGTGGAATCAGGTCAGGATTGCAGAATAGATCCTATGGACAGACTGGGTCTCTGAATGGGGGACTTGGGATGATTGGGAACAATTTGCACTTGTTGAATGGTTCAGGAGCCTCTGAGAGCTATATACCAGCAACCACATATGGGAACTCTCCAAAGTCATTATCACAGCATTTTGATCAACAGCATCAGCCCTTAATGCAAGGTGCCCCCATTCTCAACAAGTACTGATAAAATAACTCCAGCAGTCAGATTATTTTCAAGCTTTAAATAATATGCGAGTGCTATTTCGTCTTTTTTGTATGACAGGTGATAGATATGGTATCAATCGCGCAGATACGTCGGGGTCTGGAAACTTGTGTCTTCCTGTTTCTTCTGTGGGAATGGTCATGAATAATCAAAACCCCCGTGCTGTATCCTTACAGTCCATGTCCAAAACAAACTCTCCTTTGATTACCGATCAATCAAACTTGACCGCCTCTCAGCAGATGCCAAATATAAAGGTTCAACCAGTTGATCAGTCAGTGCAGATGAACTTTCAGTCCCAGCATTCACTGGGAGATAACCGTTTATCTTCCTATCAGCATCAACATTGTCAACAGCCGCCTCAGCAGTTCCAGGAGCAACGTCAATTTGTTCAACCTCAACCTCAGCAGAAGCTGCAAAGTCAGCAGCACCAACTTTTGTCAAGGAGCAATACTTTTGCTCAAGCTCAGCTACCTTCTGATCTTGGTATTCGGGTAAAGTCTGAGCCTGGAAATCATGTTGAAGCCCAACATTCTCGGGTCAATGCTGAGCAATTTCAGTTTTCTAACATAAATCAGTTTCAGTCAAATTCAGTTGAAGACCATTCTAAAGGTACTCAGTTGCTCCCTCCTCTGTCTAGGTTATTCGTTTGTCAGTGTCTCATCCTTCACAACAAATGCAGCAATTATTGAATTCGCAACAGTTTGTTACTGATTCTAAGAGCCGTTTCAGCTTTTTTACTAATGGGGTTCATTCAGATGCAGTATTTCAGGGTCAATGGTATTCCACGTCGCAAGATGGGAGTCAAATACCAGGTAGCTTCTCAAATAAGCAAAATGCACAAGAGGAATCGTGTCAGAGAACTTCCAGGAAGGATGAAGCTTATCCAAATAATTTGTCTACAGAGGGATCTCCGGTCAGTCAACCTTTTGGTAATAGAGCAGTTGCCACCAATAACTCGAGCAGCTCCATCAGCAGATCTAATAACCTTCCTCGTGAACGACAGTATTTCAATCAGCAGAGGTGGCTATTGTTTTTGATTCATGCACGTGGATGTTCTGCTCCGGAAGGGAAATGTCCAGAGCAGAATTGCATAAAAGCTCAAAAACTAGTGAAGCATATGGAAGGATGCAGTAACTTTGACTGTCAATATCCTCGTTGTCCTACAACGAGGGTCTTAATTAACCACTACAGACGGTGCAGAGATCTAAGCTGTCCTGTTTGCATTCCTGTCAGGAAATTTGTACATGCACAACAAAAAGTTGCTCGTCCTGGCTGTAGTTCTGATATGCCAAATCCTCCTAATGGTAGTTGTAGATCCTATGATGCTGGTGAAATTGCTTCCAGGTTGACTGCCAAGCTGAGTTCGGTGTCGGCTCAAACAGAAGATTTGCAGCCTTCTCTTAAGCGTACGAAGATTGAGCCACCTTCTCAATCTCTTATCTTGGAAACAGAAAATTGTTTTATGCCAGTTTCCGCCTGTGACTCTCTTGTTACCCAAAATGCCCAGCTCGTTGAACAGCATGGCAATGCTGTCGCAATGAAATCTGAAGTTACTGACATAATGATAGAAATTCCTGTAAATGCTGTGCAAGTCAGTCCTGGGAGTATAGATATACGAAAGGATAATTTGGATGATACCTGCATTCAAAAGCCTGTTCTTGATTCTGCTGTATCAAGTAGTGCAGCTTCTCTTGTGAAACAGGGAAATATGAAGACTGAAAAGGACATGGATCAGCCTAAACAGGAAATTACATCAGCACCCTCTGAAAGCACAAGTGGATCCAAGTCTGGGAAGCCTACAATAAAGGGTGTGTCAATGACTGAATTATTCACCCCAGAGCAAGTCCGAGAGCACATTATTGGTCTGAGGCGATGGGTTGGCCAGGTCTGTCTTGCGTGCTATTGTTAGTTGTTGAGGGAGGGGGATCCCGTTGTTTTAGTCATGAATTGTCTGACATACACATTTGCATCATATTTTTTAAAATGAGTTGGTGATTGATGTTTTAAATCCTTTCGTAATAACAGCTTTTTAATGAGTATTAGTAAAATCATGGTGTTGGGGACTTGCCTTAGAAGACCAGTGGTGGTTGCATAAAAGACTAGATGCATACATGTTTCGAGAAATTTGTAATGATTCTAAACTTGGAGAACTTCTTCAGAGTTATGCGAGCTAGCAGAACAGCAATACATTTTTAATCATTTCATCTCAATGCAATAACTAGGCACATGCAAAACTCAATTTTATGAAACCATGAACGCGTAAGTTATGCATTCATGGTTTATTAACTGAGTTTTGCATGTAACTAGTTATTGCATTGAGATGAAATGACTAAAAATTTATTGGCTGTTCTGCTTGCTGGGTCATAAAATAATTTCCTAAACATATCGCCTCTAGCTGAGTTTTCTATCAAGAAGATACACCCTCAAAATAGTATAGATATGGGTTTAGAAAATGGGTGGTGGTTGCTTAAAAGACTAGATCTATACATGTTTTGAGAAACTGGTAGCAATTCTAATCTTGGCCAAGTTTTCTAGGGTTATGCATTCATGGTTTATTCGTTATTTTTTTTTCCATACACCTAGTTATTGCAGTGAGATAAAATGACTTCCAAAATTATTTGTTGTTCTGCTTGCTAATTCTTAAAATATTTTCCTAATATATCGCCCTCCATCTGAATTTTCTTTCAAGAAGATACACCCTCAAAGTAATATAGCATTAGTTTTGATATATGTAGCTGAGAAACAATGATTAGGAGTGTTTTGTTTTTATGCACTCCTCTTCGTAATTTTGGGTAACTTCACAGTGTTTGTGAAGTCTATATATTAATATACGAATATGTTACCTTCTTGAATTTTTTTTAAATGTTATTTGCTGTCTAGTATGTGTAAGCCGGAAGTAGTGAATTATAATCCTTCAGGAGGTAAGGGTAGGACCTAAGGAATACAAGGTCTATGTATTTATAGTTGATGAGAAATGAAACACCTACTCTTACGAGTACACTTACTGCTGTTTTAAATCTTAAATGAGTCTTCCTTGTACCATTATCAAAAAGAAAAAAAATCTTAAATGAGTCTTTCACCCTCTTAGAAACTCCAGAAGACAATCAAAACCTCATTTTAAAATTTACTTTTCATACGTGGTAGGAAACATATCTGCGTTATCAGTATCTGTGGCATATATTCTACTGATGTTTTTGGTTTATTTTCTGATCGGTATGTGTTATCATTTCATGGAACGAAATTTTGTTTTTTTCCCCTTCACAGAGCAAAGCAAAAGCAGAAAAAAATCAAGCTATGGAACATTCCATGAGTGAAAATTCATGTCAATTATGTGCAGTTGAGAAGCTAAATTTCGAACCTCCGCCTATATATTGTACTCCTTGTGGTGCTCGTATTAAACGAAATGCAATGTATTATACGATTGGAACTGGTGATACTCGACACTACTTCTGCATTCCATGCTATAATGAGGCTCGTGGAGACACCATTGTTGTTGATGGAACCACTATTCCGAAGGCGAGGATGGAGAAAAAGAAAAATGATGAGGAAACTGAAGAATGGGTATTTGTGTCTCACCTTTTAGGATTTACTTCAGAATATCTAATGATTGAAGAAATAAAATTGAAAATCCAGCTCTATACACTTTTTTCAGCAGTACACAATGTTTCTCTTGTTCTGAATTTTGACTAGTTTTATTATATTTGTTAAATCTTAAAAGTTTCTGCTTTGTGCAGTGGGTTCAATGTGATAAGTGCGAAGCTTGGCAACATCAGATTTGTGCATTGTTCAATGGTAGGAGAAATGATGGTGGGCAAGCTGAGTATACCTGTCCAAATTGCTATATTATAGAGGTTGAAAGAGGTGAGCGTAAGCCCTTACCACAAAGTGCTGTTCTTGGAGCAAAAGATCTGCCTCGTACAATTCTCAGTGACCATATTGAGCAACGATTAGTTAGGCGTTTGAAGCATGAAAGGCAGGAGAGAGCAAGACGTGAAGGAAAAAGTTATGATGAGGTACGTGAATTTGCTTGAGTTTTGAACGCTACAGCCCACGTGTTGAAGTTTAATGATTCTAATAAGAGAGCGTGATATATTTATACTGGTGGACACCGAATGCATCGTTGTGATGGATAAATGGGCATATAGTTTTGATTGACAGTCGCCAATCAAGGGGGTGCCTCTCCTGTATAGTAAAGTCGAAAACAGCTCTAAGATAGATGTCATGCCATGAGAAAAGTTGGTACGTCTAAGCATTGTAAAACTCACTCTAGTCTCTGTGGTGGATGCTGCATTCACTACTTCTAACCAGTATAGTTATAATTAAGTCCAGAGTATGGAACAGCTTCAGCCTTCTAAAGAAATGTGACATATAAGTAAAGTATCTTGTCTTCTGATTTTTCAGTTATAATGTGTTTCCTTATCTTTGGAAAACCTCATATGCACGTTCAATCTTAGAAAACATTAAGTACTGAGATAAATATTAGCTTTGATGTCATAATCCCCGTATGGAGATAAATTAGCTTGTGATTGAACTGTCTCGATTGCTTAAACTTTTTCATTATAAAGAGCCCGTTTGGATTGGCTTATTTTAAGTGCTTTTATGCCAAAATAGCTTGTTTGGATAAAGTAAAAAAGTGCTTTTAAGCACTTGTTTTTAAGCCAAAATGACAAAAATAAGTCAAAAGCCAAAAGCTAGAATTCCTAACTTATGGCTTTTGGCTTAAAAGTCACTTACAACACGCCCATCCAAACAGGCTCAAAGTAAAGAAACATTTCCTTTTGGAAGATATCTTATTTGGGTGTTTCTTCCAAGTTCTGTTTATTGATATTTTTGTCAGCAATTGTTTACTTATGCATTTCTACTTCTGCTTGTGTTGTCGATTTAACAGGTTCCTGGTGCTGAAGGGCTTGTTGTAAGGATTGTGTCATCAGTGGACAAAAAGTTAGAAGTGAAATCAAGGTTTCTCGAGATCTTTCAAGAAGAGAATTATCCGCCAGAGTTCCCATATAAATCAAAGGTACATTTCTACCCTTTTTTTTTTACTGCAAATCAGAGTTGTTTGGTACTGAAAAGGAACATATTCACAAAATTAGACACAAATTGAAAGGTTGGTATGTGTTTGTTGTTTGAAACAAACCAAAGCAAGCCAAACTTGTTTCTGCAATAGGCACGTACTTTTTAATATTACCTTGAGCTCTCCTTTTTTCCCGAGTATTCTTTTCCAATTTCACATTTTTCTTTCTTATGATTATGTTATGATTTTTTAGAATTCATTTAATCTTATGTTATATTCACCAAATTGTGGAGTAATTATTTTTCACTCTGTTTTTTTCTTAATATATATTCTTATATTGATATAGTAAATGTTTTTGTATTAAACTAATGCATGTTGTTTCAAGGATAGTAGTAAAATATTCACATACTAAAAGGGGTTTGGTTGAAAGTTTATATAATACTAGGTTACTATTCTAGTTTTATGAGTTCAGGAAACATCTCGCACTGCCACAAGTGTTTCCAATATCAGTCATTGAAACACATTGTGTTGCACTAAATGTTTTAGAAACATTTGTAACAAGTTTCTCTGAAAAACTATCTGACCATCACTTAATTGTTGTGGACATTTTGGTTCCAAGGATTGAAATGAATTTGAGATGTGTTTATACCAGATATTCATACGTTAGAAATAGATCTAATCTGTTGGTACAGAATGGATTATTGGTTCGCGAGACATTGTTTTGATAAATTATTGGTGTGAGACATCTCTATAACATGCACGTCATTATGTGTTCCTTGTGTGCAATTTGATAAGAGCCTTGTATAGGTAAAAGTTGATGGTTTCTTGGCTTGGTTCGCTCCATGTTCATTCATTTGTCCTTCCCTGACGTGAATTATCCCTCCATATCCTTGACCTTTAAAATTGCTTCCAGCACTGTAGCGAAAAAATATTATTTGGGGAAGCCTTTACGTGCGTAAAGTCTAAGTCAATAGTTGAATTGGGAGGTTAGTTTTGATGGTTAGGGGAGTAAAACGGTGGACTAATTCAATTCGTTATCCATTGATTAATGGTAAAAATCAATTAGTCAACTACTTGCCAATCGAGTAGTTGAGGTCGGCTGGATAAATTCTGCGTAACCATTATGCTCTATTATATTGTCTTAGGATGTTAGGTCAAGCATTAGGTCCTAAGATCTCTGTTTGTCATTTCCTAGCTCATTTCTCTTGCAATTAGGTGATAAGAGTTTTGAGTGCTGAACTAATAAGTTGCATCCTTCAGGTGTTACTGTTATTTCAGAAAATTGAGGGTGTAGAAGTGTGCCTCTTTGGCATGTATGTTCAGGAATTTGGATCTGAATGCGCACAACCAAATCATCGCCGTGTTTATCTCTCGTATCTAGATTCTGTCAAATATTTCAGGCCAGAGATCAAAGCAGTGAGTGGCGAGGCTCTTCGTACATTTGTGTACCATGAAATTTTGGTAATCTTTTTCTGCCATCAGTTTTATATGTTGATTTCCTTATCTTTATTATCGGTTTATATTTGTATTCATGCTATTCTGGTCTTATTCCAGATTGGATATTTAGAATACTGCAAAAAGCGCGGTTTCTCAAGTTGCTATATATGGGCTTGTCCCCCACTGAAGGGTGAAGATTATATATTATATTGCCACCCGGAAATCCAGAAAACCCCAAAATCTGACAAGCTCAGAGAGTGGTGAGCTTAATAAAGTTTTTACTTGTTATCATATTTTTTAGAATGTGTCCTTCAGTCTCAAAACTTTGGTTATCTGTTTTGATGAACTTCTAATGTGGTGAGGTAATATTGCTCCTTTTGGGTACATGTACTTGACTAGGTTCACTATCTTATATTTCAGGTATTTATCAATGTTAAGAAAAGCTTTGAAGGAAAATATTGTTGTAGATCTCACAAATTTATATGACCATTTCTTCATTTCTGCGGGCGAATGTAAAGCTAAAGTTACTGCAGCTCGCCTGCCATATTTTGATGGGGACTATTGGCCTGGTGCAGCAGAGGATATGATTTATCAACTTCAACAAGAAGAAGATGGGAGGAAACAACATAAGAAGGGATCTATTAAGAAGACTATATCAAAAAGAGCTCTTAAAGCATCTGGTCAATCTGATCTTTCTGGAAATGCATCTAAGGATATACTTCTAATGCACAAAGTAATTTTGGCCTTTAAATACTTTATTTACTCTAGTCTTCTTTCTACTTCCTCTTTGACTGTTTGTTGACTGGTTGTTGTTAATATGTTTTGTATTCATCAAAAGATACGTCGCGGTTTATGGCTTGCAGTTCTGAATATATTGCTATTCTCTTTTCAAGCACTGATTACTATTTTCCTGTGTTGAAAGCTGATGGACTGTAAATCTTCTTGTGTATACTTTTGTTTGTGCCCTCACAAATTTCCACTTGTCACAGCTTGGTGAAACTATTTCTCCAATGAAGGAAGATTTTATTATGGTCCACCTGCAGCATGCATGTACTCATTGTTGTATTCTAATGGTGTCCGGAAATCGTTGGGTATGCAATCAATGCAAGAACTTTCAGCTTTGTGACAAGTATGAGTCTCGCCTCTCTCATTTCATTATTGGAGTAGTAAAACTTTTCTGTTACGCGCTTGAAAGTGAAATACTAATGCCTGATCTTCTCCTCATCTGAAAAGGAGACAGAAAAAATAAGCAAGACCAAAAGTACTTGGAGAGTCTTTTTTCATGTGTAACAAAAAGTCATTTTCTCTCTTCTCATTTATTATCTATAGGGACTTATAGTTTATAAGTGACTGCTAAGCTATATTCATGAACCAACATCGCCAAAAACCTTGGAGTTCATAGTTTTCTTAGTAATGTTAAAGGCGCACTGTGAGTGTTGAAGAAGAAAGGTAAAGAAGTGTAGAACACAGAGTGCACAGCAAAAGTGAGAAAAGAAAAGTTAATGTAGAGAATGTCAAAAATCAGATAAGCTATCAGCATTATCCGTCGTTTCTTATTACTCCAGACAAAGAGCAGTCTAAGGTATAACATTTATAGTTTGAGCGCCGATTGTGAACTGAACATAAACAATAGTTTTCTCAAAGCATGGCAGACCCTATGAGTTCTCTCATTCTTAATACATGAGCTTGCATATATGTTATTTTGATTGGTACCAAAGTAAGCATTTGGAAGCTTGGTTTCAACCAGTGCCACATTCCTGTAGTTGGTTTTTTTTGTTGGTACATGAACTCGCATATATCTGCAATATAATTTCCCCATTTATGCATGCTGCGCATTGCAGAATAGTCTTCGAGTATGACAGCTCGTACTTTCTTGCACAAGTTTTTTTTTTTTTAAAACAATTAACTGTGCTGCTACTCTTTAGGTGTTATGAAGTTGAACAGAAACTTGAAGACAGAGAAAGACATCCTATCTATCACAAGGACACACATATACTCTACCCCGTAAGTAGTTTTTTATGTTTTTGTTCTGATAGGTATTGCTATATTGTAGATTTTGTTGATTGAGGAATAACTTTTGCAGATTGAAATTGAAGTAACTGAAGATACCAAGGATAAAGATGAAATTCTCGAGAGCGAGTTTTTTGATACAAGGCAGGCGTTTTTGAGTCTTTGTCAAGGAAACCATTACCAATATGATACCCTGCGGCGTGCTAAACATTCCTCAATGATGGTCCTTTACCACCTTCATAATCCGACTGCACCAGCATTTGTGACAACTTGCAATATTTGTCATCTTGACATAGAAGCAGGTCAAGGTTGGCGGTGTGAAGTTTGCCCAGATTATGATGTGTGTAATGCTTGTTATCAGAAGGATGGTGGAATTGATCATCCTCACAAGCTAACTAATCATCCATCCATTGCTGAGCGTGATGCTCAGAATAAAGAGGCTAGGGAACTACGAGTTCTGCAGGTGCATTCTCCTTGGCCATTAATATTAGTTGTGGTTTTCTGATTTTCTCTGTTACTCAAACTTTCTCAACTCTTTCTGTGGAGAAGCAAAAGATGCCTCCTGTCGGCATGATATTATATTAGTGAGATGTTTAATCTCTCCCAAAGTTATTACATGGAGAACATTGATACTTTTACAGAACGCGTGATGATATTTCCCCCCCTTTTAGTAACATGTTAACTGATGTGCTAAACATGCCTAGAAGTTGCTGAAATTACGAGGTAAAATGTCACAGTAACAAACCCAAATAAAGCGACCTAACTGGTAGTACTTTAAGGTGTATAATTGTAAAGGTCATTTGGTTATATGAACATATTATCTACTTATGTGAGCCTATTCTTTTTGCACGACGACTACAAGCTCTTGGCATCTGGACTTCAGTTTAAAATCTATTATGAACTCTCCCTGGAGACAGTATGTATTTTGCTCAGTTCAAAGTTGCCCAATTTCAAATATCAACTTTTTTTCCATTTCATCAAGATAAGCAATTCATAACAGGGTTAGGCATTATCCTCGTGGTTTTGTTGTGTATGACTAACATTCCTGTGACTATGTTTATCTCTTTGTTTATGCTTGACATCTGAAGTCTGAAATGATTTCATTTGAATCTGCAGCTTAAGAAGATGCTTGAGCTTTTGGTGCATGCCTCTCAGTGCCGCTCTTCTCTTTGTCAATATCCAAACTGTCGGAAAGTTAAGGGGCTTTTCCGCCATGGCATACAGTGCAAAGTACGTGCTTCAGGAGGTTGTGTTCTCTGTAAGAAGATGTGGTATCTACTTCAACTTCATGCTCGTGCATGCAAGGAATCTGAGTGTCATGTGCCACGGTGCAGGTCAGTTGGGTTTTTGTTAAATAAAAGAAAATTTCATTACTTAGGGTGGACCAGGGAAGGGGAAAGGGAGTGGGAGTCACACTCACACCTATTATATGGGAGACTCTCACTGGTACCACTATGCTATAAGCCTTGGTGGTAGGTCAGTTGGCTTTTGCTTTGCGGTATAGGTGTTTGTAATTAGTATTTAAAAATAACAATTGATAATATTCATAAACAATTTATTGAATATTGGACCTGATCTGCAAATTGGATATTCTGATGAAATGGTTCCAAATCAGGCGCGGATCCACGTGGAGGGGCATGGTTCACGTGAACCCATGCACCCCCCTAGAATGTGTATTGCACTGGTTTTTTTCTGTTAATATTACTTACATTAGCATATGGGAAAATGCTCAAGAGAGCATTTGGTGCAATGGTGGCTGTGTGCACCTTTGCCCCTAGGTCTAGAGTTCGAATCCCATGCCCCCATCCTATTGAAAGCCTGTTTTTGTTTTTCCTTTTTCGTTCTTTTCTGTTTCTTTTTTTCCCTTTCGTTCTTCTCTTTTTGGTTCACTCTTTGAGTTATTAAATTCCTGTTTTTCTGTTTCGAAATTCTAATTGGTTTTGAATCTTTTCAATTCAAGTTCTCTCTTTCTTCGTTTAGCATTCTCCTTTTGAATAGTTGTTTAGTTTTGCTATATGGAGCCAAGTATTTGTAACTACAAATAATGATGCTATGATTGACTGTAGCTTGTCAAGTTGTTGTCATGGCAAAATTTTATAGAATGAAATTAAATGGTAGCAGTACACCCATCCTCCTGAAGTCATGGATACGGATACGCCACTGTTCCAAATGGAGTCAAATGGATAGTGAGAATTCATTTAGCCGACTCATCCAGCTTGAGATTGACGGTGGTGGTAGTAATAGTAATATAAATAATTTTCAAGAGAAGTAAAATAATTTATAATGTCGCGGCAATCGCCTTGTTTTGGTCCTTTTGTCTCTGTTGAAATCAGCTAACTCTTATTCACAACATAAAATTTGCAACTTTATTACCACTCATGCAGAGATTTGAAAGAACATCTTCGGAGGCTGCAACAGCAGTCTGATTCTCGGCGGCGGGCTGCTGTTATGGAGATGATGAGACAGCGTGCTGCGGAGGTTGCCAACAGTGCTGGATGACCATTTTGTTGTACATGTTGTAATAGACATACAAGGTGTTACTGGTATGCTTGGAGGTAGGACAATTGTTGGTAGGAACGGTCTCGTAATGTACAGGAAACTGCTCACCAACATACAAGCTTGCTCATTGCTGTTAGGCTACTCTAGAAGGTTTTGCTGTTTCTGGTTGACCGTCGCTTAGGCGTTGATTCTTTCACTTACTCACCTCTGGGTTATCTCCATCGTGGACCTATTCTTTCACTTGGCCGTCTTTCTGTTATCTCCATTGTGATGCTTATATCTCCGAGTTGCTCTCATCAACAATGCATCTCCAGGAGCGTAGAATGCCAAGCGTCCCTGCCCGTAGCTCATAAGTGATTTTTTAATTTCATTCTGTTGTAATCCAGCAAAAGTCACCGTTTTGAGGGCAAATGTGCCTGTCTTCCTGATTTATTTTATCATGCATTAAACATGCGGAAAGACAACTGTTTTCCTTTTCGTGTGAATAGTTGTCTCATTCTATTCCTTGTTCTCATATTTGGAGTTAGTCTTGTAGATGTTTTTCTTATTTAAAAATGCAAAGAAATACTTTACAAGTAGCATAGCAAGTTCTACTCCAAACTGGTGTTACTAGACACGTCTGTTTGACCAAAAAGTATTAAGCCATTTTGTCAAATCAATTAGTAAATAAGAAGATAATGGGTAAATTCTAGCTAAATATAATAAACCCTAGATCTGAAATAAATTCATACAAATAATGTAAAATTGCATTTAAACCAATTTTGTACAGTGGGTATTAAATGATGCTGTTATGAGTGGATGGGGGAGCAATGATAAACAATAAATACATTAAATGGCAATAAGTGTAAATAGAGAGAATGATTCACTCAAATATTGAATTAGGTGTATGATTCTTCTCGCTGATAATGATGTAAGACAAACGAACGTGTGAATATATGGAACTTTCTCGAATTTGATGCGAGAAAGTGTGGGATAAATAACCAATCGAATCTTTGTAGAAATGTAATGTTTATAATTTATTGAGAGTCAACTTCTCACGAGAGAACTTATACAATAGAATATTATCTGCCCCTTTCTTCTCTCTGCCTTTTTCTTTATATGAGACCTATCCCTTACCTAACATGAAGTACAAGTGCAGAAAATATTCAATGGAATATTCCCCTGAAATATCTTGCTACGAAACTAGCCATCATGGCCGACCTGAGTATCCGACCTCGACCCGGGTTACTCGGCTCGCCAAGTGGTTCCTTCTATCTCGAGTACGACCTCGGCCTAATCGGCTCTTAGTAATCTACCTTTGAGCAAGATTCCCTTGGTCAGATTTCGACCGATACAACGTCGATTTTGCAACTGTACTTGTTAATTGTTAATACCCAGTACTCTCAGTTTTCAGTCCGGATTGACAAAAAAATGTCCTGTTGAACATATAGCTAAATCGCTTCCCATATATTTCTGGCGCAATTATTTGTTGAGCTAAGATAATATTTTCATAGAGGTGTGATTGAAATAAAATTCAGAAATATGCTACCTCAGTTTCCATGACCATCTCCACATAGCTCTTCGACTTATTTACCCTCAGAGGCTCAGTAAAGAACCTGGATTTTCTTGTCCAATGGTATAGTCAACGTCAAGAACCACGCCAGGGCCAAAAGTCAGCACATTGAACTGGGGAAGTGTACAAATACTAGATTTTGGGACCGATGTTTAAGGGGTACCCTTAAGTTCTATTATTATTAATTTTTTTTTTAATTTTTTTTTTTAATTTTTTGTAAATGTACTCACTTCAGACACAACCTCAAGCATACGCAATTGACATAGCAAAATTCGTGGAAAGTTCGCAGCTGAAATTACAAATTTTATTTGAGGTTGGGAGGTCTGTACATGAATGTACAGACTAGGGGTGGCAAAATGGTTCAAAGAAAACAGTTAGCCACCCATATTATCCACTAAAAAATGGGTTGGAAAATGAACTTTTTAAAAACGGGTCAAATATGGATAAGAACCATATTATCCATTTAGAAAATGGATAACCAATGAGTAAACAATGGATAACCAATGGGTCTAACTTTTACATTTGTAAAGCCTCAAATTGGGGGTTGCTCAAGTTAGGGAGACTAAGAATTCTCCCAAAAGTGATCATATACAAGAAGTCATGGATAATATGGGTAACTCATATTATCCGCCGGTTAACCCGTTTTTTATCCGTATTAAATATGGTCGGGTCGGATAATTGATCCGTTTTTTCATTATCCGTTTTTTGATCCGAACCATATCCGACCCGACCCGCCCGTTTGCCACTCCTAGTACAGACAATCATGCAACTACAGCCTGCAGCTAGGGTGGGCAATAGTTTGGGCTAACCCGAAATCCAAATCGAAATCCGTTTTTTGGATTTTTGGTATGCATTTTCGGATTACAGATTGGATTTTGGATTTAATTTTTAAAATTATTGAATTTCGGATTGGATATTGGATTTGATACTTCGAATTTTTGGATATCCGAAAATCCGAATTTCTTATACTTTATATTTAGTCCATTATCCATATGTCAATAGCAATAAGTTCAATACCTGACCCATTAGATATTATCTCATACATTCAATATTAATTACTAAGTTACTGTGAGATACTTTCTATTTGGACATGGTTTTACTATTTTTACTTCTTATCGGCCGTATTAATGTCTCTACTGTATTTTATTGACCATAATATCATTATTTGAATACTTCATTTGGATGATAGCAGTGAGAATGAGGAACTTTTCAGGATATTTAGCATGAGTACTTCATTTGGATATTCACTTTTGTAAAAAGAAGCAACATCTCAACATATAAGTTCAAAATCGAAAATCTAAAATATCCAAACCGATTAATTCGAAACCAAACTTAAAAAATCCGATCCAATCCGAGCTTATTTGGATTGGATTTGGATTGTGATTTCTTCAATCTGAAAATCGAAAATTCAAACTAAAATTTTTATATGCAATCCGAACTGCCCGAATGCCCACCTCTACCTACAACAATATCTGACTAATTTACACCCGTATTTACATGTACTTCAAACACACATCACATAAGTGCATGAAAAAAAATTGGTTGCACTTCGGTCATGTGTGTCTTAAGTGCGGTCAATTTTGCACTTAGAAGACATTACTGAAAGTGCAACCAATTTTTTGCATGCACTTCAGTCTTGTGTGTCTAAAGTGCAAATTTTCAATTGAAATATCTTTTGCTGAGTAAGAGAAACTTATTTTTCAAATTTCAACAATCTAACACATATTTCAAAACTCAAATCTACTCCAAATGAGTTTAAATTTGAAACATAAGTTTCAAATATCATAAATAATGAACCTCAATCATCAATTTTTCAACAAGTTGATAAACCTAACAAACCCATTTTGTAATAATGGTGATTTGCCAATATTTTAAAGTTTTTTCAACAACACTCAATTGATTTAAAAGTCACGTTTCATAATCGAAATTTAAGACCCACTTCTTTAAAGCTTTATACTTCAATTACTATATATTGAATAATATTATTGTACAACAACTAAGAAGAAGAAAGAAAAAGAGAAAAGAAACAGAAAAGAAGTTGTTGTATGAGGTTACCTAATATTGGATACTAGTTAAATTTTTCGAAAAAAGTGGGTTGGGGTGAACAAATAGGGTACACCGTGATATTTTTAGGAAATTTTACCTTCTATAGCAAACTATTACACCTTATTTATTATAAAATAAAATAATTTTAAAATATTATTACTTATAGCTATTTTTTCTATTTTATAGCAAAATAGGTATTTATTTATACCTATCATTGAGGCATGAAATACCCCAATTATATTCTCTCTCTCTCTCTCTCTCTCTCTCTCTCTCTCTCAGCAAGATTTTCAATCCTCTCTCTTCTCTATCAAATCAGTAGAATTCAAATCAGTAGAATCGTCGGCATCATCATCGTGGTGGTCGTCAGAATCGTCAACATCATCCTGCACTATTATCACGATTCGGAATTTCCACCATCGGGACCGTGATGAAATCAAATGAAATTTTCAAGAAAGCTTTGAAATCTGTATTTTTACCACCGGACGTACGAATCACGTCAAACCGACTCCGTTTGCCATCAAATTTCACAAATAAGTCCAAAATATTATATTTGACCTGTACCGGGCTCCGGAACCAAAATACGGACTCGATAGCAACGAGATCAAATATCAATAATTTCTTAAAAACAAATAAATTTTCAGACTTCCAATTTTCAACAAAAATTCATTATTCGGGCTAGGGACCTCCGAATCCGATTCCGGGCATACGCCCAAGGTCCCATATTTTGATACGGACAAACCGGCACTTTCAAAACACGAGTCCGGGTCCGTTTACCAAAAATATTGACCGAATTCAACTCAAATGTGGTTTTAAGCAAAATTCCTTATTTTTACCAACTTTCAACATAAAAGCTTTTCGGAAACACATCCGGACTGCGCACGCAAATCGAGGAGGGATAAAATGAGGGTTTTAAGGCCTCGAAATACAGAATTTGGTTTTAATTCATAGGATGACCTATCGGGTCATCACATTCTCCACCTCTAAAACAATCGTTCGTCCTCGAACGGACATAGAAAAGTACCTAGACTAGTGAAAAGGTGGGGATATCTGCTCTACATATCGGACTCGGACTCCCAAGTAGCTGCCTCAACAGGCTGACCTCTCCACTGCACTCGAACTGAAGGATAACTCTTCGATCTCAATTGACGAACTTGCCGGTCTAGAATAGCTACCGGCTCCTCCTCGTAGGGCAAATCCTTGTCCAGCTGGAACGTGCTGAAGTCTAACACATGAGACGGATCTCCGTGATATTTCCGGAGCATGGACACATGGAATACATGATAAACTACTGATAAACTGGGTGGCAATGCGAGCTTGTGAGCCACCCCACCCACTCTCTGGAGAATCTCAAAAGGCCCGATGTACCTAGCGCTCAACTTGCCCCTCTTCCCAAATCTCATTACACCCTTCATGGGTAACACACGGAGCAACACTCTCTCTCTGACCATGAATGCAACGTCACAAACTTTACGGGCGGCATAACTCTTCTGCCTGGACTGAGCTGAGTGAAGTCTATCCTGAGTGATCTTAACCTTATCCAAGGCATCCTGTACTAAATCTGTACCCAATAACCAAGCCTCCACCGGCTCAAACTATCCAACAGGTGATCGATACCGTCTACCATATAATGCCTCACAGGGGGCCATCTGAATGCTCGACTGGTAGCTGTTGTTGTAGGCGAACTCCGCAAGTGGAAATAACTGATCCCAAGAGCCTCCGCAGTTAATAACACCGGCGCGGAGCATATCCTCCAATATCTGAATAGTGTGTTCGGACTGTCCGTCCGTCCGAGGATGAAATGCTATGCTCAACTCAACCTGCGTGCCCAACTCACGCTATACTGCCCTCCAGAAATATAAGGTGAACTGCGTACCTCGATCAGATATGATAGACACTGGCGCACCGTGAAGACGAACGATCTCGCAGATATAAATCTCTGCCAACCGCTCTGAAGAATAGCCACAAGAATGAAATGCGCTG